CACCTTAAAGCACACCCGGAAGACCACCGGGAGCCAATGCAGCTCGCGCAGGAGAGGTGTTATGTGGGAGCGCCACGTCGCTCCCATAATCACCCACGCGGCCGCATTCTGCACCAGCTGGAGCCTCCGGGTGCTCCTCAGGGGGAGCCCCATGTAGAGAGCATTGCAGTAGTCCAGGCATGATGTGACCAAGGCATGAGTGACTGTGCACAAGGAGTCCCGATCCAGAAAGGGGCGCAACTGGCGTATCAGGTGAACCTGATAAAAAGCCCCCCTGGCCACGGCCGTCATATGCTCTTCTAAAGACAGCCGTGTGTCCAGGAGGACGCCCAAGTTGCGAGCCCCCTCTGTGGGGGTCAGTGACTCGCCCCCAATAGCCAGCGATGGCACCAGCTGGCTATACCAGGACGCCGGCATCCACAGCCACTCGGTCTTGGAAGGGTTGAGCCAAAGCCTGTTCCTCCCCATCCAGACCCGTACGGCCTCCAGACACTGGGACATCACTTCGAGGGCATCATTGGGGTGGTCTGGGGTGGAGATGTACAGCTGAGTGTCATCAGCATACAGATGGCATCGCACCCCAAAACCACGGATGATCTCACCCAGCGGCTTCACATAAATGTTGAACAGGAGCGGCGAGAGGACCGACCCTTGCAGCACCCCGCAAGCAAGGCGCCTCGAGGTCGACCTCTGCCCCCCTGCCAACACAGACTGCGACCGGTCAGAGAGATAGGAGGAGAACCACCGCAACACGGTGCCTCCCACCCCCAATCCCTCCAGCCGGCGCAGCATGATACCATGGTCGATGGTATCAAAAGCCGCTGAGAGGTCTAACAGGACCAGAACAGAGGAACAACCCCTGTCCCGAGCCCTCCAGAGATCATCCACCAATGCGACCAATGCCGTCTCCGTGCTGTACCCAGGCCTGAAGCCGGACTGGCACGGATCTAGATAGACGGTTTCATCCAGGTACTGTGGGAGCTGTCGCGCAACCACACTCTCCACAACCTTCGCAACAAAGCAAAGGTTGGAGACCGGACGGTAGTTTGCCAAAACGGCCGGGTCCAGAGAAGGCTTCTTGAGGAGGGGCCTCACCATCGCCTCTTTCAAGGCGGGAGGCAAGAAACCCTCACTCAGAGAAGCATTTATAATCCTCTGGATCCAGCCTCGTGTTACCTCCCGGGTGGCCAGTACCAGCCAGGAGGGGCACGGGTCCAATAAACATGTGGTTGCGTTTCACCTCCCCAGAATCCTGTCCATGTCCTCAGGAGTCACAGGGTCGAACTCATCCCAGGTAACATTCTCAAGACCAGCCTCAGTCATCCCACCAGGATCTACCCAGTCAGAGTCCAAGCTTTCCCGAATCTGAGTGATTTTATCGTGCAGATACTGTGCAAAATCCTCAGCCTGCCCTTGCAAGAGGTCTTCCCGCGCTCCCTGATGTAGGAGGGAGCGAGTCACCCTAAACAAGGCGGCTGGGCGGTTATCTGTCGATGCAATAAGAGCGGAAAAGTGGTTACGCTTTGCCGCTTTTATTGCCACTAGATAGGTCTTAATATGAGACTTAACTAGTGTTCGGTCAGATTCGGAGCGACTAGCCCTCCAACCACTCTCTAGGCGTCTTTTCTGGCGCTTCATCTCCCTCAGCTCCTCGGAAAACCAAGGGGCCAGGCAGGTTCGGCGTTGGGTCAGAGGCCGCAAAGGCACGACTCGGTCCAGAGCACCGGCGGCCGTCCTATCCCAGGCAGCCACCAGATCTTCGGCCGAGTCGTGAGCCAGAGTTTCAGGAATTGGCCCAAGCTCCCTCTGGAACCTATCAGGATCCATCAGGTGCCTGGGGCGGAACCACCTGGTCGGTTCCGCCTCCCTGCAGTGGGGTGCAGCAGTCAAAAAGTCCAGCCTCAGGAGAGAATGGTCCGACCATGACAGGGGTTCAGTAACTATATCCCCTATATCCAGACCACTCCGCCACTGACCAGAGATAAAAACCAAGTCCAGAGTGTGTCCTCCCGCGTGAGTGGGGCCATGAATTAATTGTGTCAGGTCCATGGCTGTCATGGAAGCCATAAACTCCCGAGCCATCCCAGACGCCTCACCGGCAGACGGCAGGTTGAAATCCCCCATGACCAAAAGTCTGGGGGTATCAACCGCCACCCCGGCAATAACGTTGAGAAGCTCGGGCAGGGCTGCTGTCACGTGGCAGGGAGCCAGGTACGCAATCAGCAGGCCCACCTGCATCCCATGGCCCCACTTCACCAGGAGAGACTCACATCCGGCTATCTGAGGTACAGTGGCCTCCCTCGGATCAAGACCTTCCTTTATAACGACCGCCACCCCCCCACCCCTGCCCTGGGCCCTTGGCTGATGGAATGCGTGGAAACCTGGTGGGCACATCTCTACAAGGGGGACACCCCCCCCTCTTGGCCCAGCCAGGTCTCTGTAATACCTGCCAGGTCCGCACACCCCCCCTCACAAATGAGGGGGACCTTATTAACTACGGACCTGGCGTTGCACAGCATCAGTCTAAGGCCTGGGCTCTGAAACTCTGGACAGCCGGGGAGACGAGAAGAGTCATGGGGGCCGAGGCATGCCACCGCTTGGAGATAGCGGGTGCATGCCCCTACCACCTGATGTGGCCTACTCCCGCCATATCTGCCCCTCCCAACCACAGTCCTGATGGAATCGCCCTCCACCCTATCAGCACTGAGCTCCTAAACACCCCGCTCCCCACCTTCCGTTCCATGCCCCTGTAACGAGCCTGACCTATGCCCCTCCCTCCCCAGCCCCCGCCCTAAACCCCTTAAAAGATTACAAAAAGACAATTTTAAAAAACCCCACAACCCCCTCTTTGCGGCATGCCACCTCTCGGGGTTCCAAAGCCCGTCATCGAGGTAGGCCCTCGATAGAGTGGAGGGCCAAGCCTGCAAGAGGGGGGAGTCTCGCAGACCAAGAAGCTCCGCTGCGGAATACATCTTGACCACAGAGGATGGGAGCAACCATATCCTAGGGGTCCATATAGAAGGTCCAGGGGAGAGATAATGGAATGGGAGTCTCAAAAGCATTTTCAACAAGACCAGGTCCACTGTCCCCTCACAACAGAGGACGAAGTCAGGTTCCAGGTCGACCACAGTCCAAGGGGGGGGGATAGACCCAACCACCCTCTCACGGTGGTCCGATTAACCAGTCGACCCTCTCTTGTGATGAGATGGCAGCGATGAACCAATGCAGACAGCACAGCACCCGGGGCTCAGGTCCAAAAACCGCCCTCTCACAGCGGTTGGTCCAATGGTCAAGTCCCCTCTGCTGGCAAATGCAAGAAATTCGATATCATCCCAGTTCACCCCCTAGGGGCCCCGACATCAGAGCCACCCTCTCACGGTGGTTTAACTGAGCCCAGCCCTCTCAGCTGATGGGATAGAGCCATGTACCAGCCCCCATTCAGATTTAAATAGTCCTCCCCACAGTTAGGAAGAGTTCAGATGAAAATAAACTTGGTGTCAAGTGAGTCAGTGAGCTAGCCGACAATCCAAGGTGGGCATAGTCCCGGCAGAGAAGCATTGGGGAGAAGCAGGGGCAGTTATCTCTAGCCCCCCCCCAGCCCCCACATAAGCAATGGAGGCCTCCCAAGGTCTAAAAGCGTCTCATGCCAGGTCCTCGCCCAACCCAAAAGGTGGATGATCTCCCGGCCTCGTTGCCCCCCCCATCCCCAGCTTCCTGGGGGGGGGTGTCTCCTCCCTGCCAGGCCCTCTGGACTGCCATCACAGCTGCCGTCGTCATGCCATCGCCGCCGTCACTGCCGTAACACCCAAAAGGTCTGGCAGCGTCCCAAAGATCTTCTGGGAAATCCGGCAACTCCCCCAGCACTCCGGGCAACCCCTCAGCCTGGGAAATCGCCGTACAGCAGTGCCCCAGGCAAAAACGCCACCACGCCGATTCCAATGCCCACATGGGCTCCAGCTGGAGGAAAACGCTGCCGACGCCCAGCTGATGCAGTCCGCTGCTCCCGACATCGCCTGACGCTCTCTCTCTCTGCCCAGCCTCAATATCCGGAGGGGAAAAAACCCTCTCCGTGTAGGCAGAGAGTTCTCCTAACCGGGCCTGTGGTCGTAGATCTTCACAACGACCCCCAAAAGACCCCAAAGGGTAGGTCAGTCCCCATCCTCAAGCCGCGATCTCGGCAACCGTCACCATCTTGGGCATGCGCATAAAAATGTCTTAAAGATGAACATAAAGATGATCACTATCCCCTAGAGTCAGACATGACTGGGTGTTGAAACCTTTATCTTTACCTTTATATCTTGAAGAAAGAAGCAAAGGAAATGGGATTTTTGGAGATGCTAAGGTAATTAGACATAGACATTAAGGGAAGTAATAAAGTGGCTGCTGATAGACCATTTGGACAGTTAGTCAATCCAACCCAGAAGGATTAAATATCCACAAAGAGAAAGAGGAGAATGACTTTTGCCGAAGCAGATGCAGTCACAGAAAAGGAGTCAACATATTCTTCAAAACACCTGAGGGCAGGACAAAAAGCAGTGGGTGGAAGCTTGTTAAAGAGAGATCCAACATGGAACTAAGGAAAAATTTCCTGAGAGTGGGAATAATTAATCAATGGAACAAGAGTTGTGGGTGGCCAATTGCTGGAGGTTTTCAAGAAAAGATTGGACAGCCAATTGTTCAGGATGGAATAAGGTCTCCTGCCTTGGGCAGGGGGTTGGACTAGAAGACTTCCAAGGTCCCTATCAGCCCTATGATTCTAAAGACTGAATAGACTGTTGGCCTTAGAAACACCTGCAGTATACCCAAGCCCACATTTGTGTTTACAATGCGGTTTAGGTACTATTCAGATATTTTTTTAGTTGCTTATGTTATGAACTGAGTCAGCACAATAGCAAATAGTGAGACTTCATAACTGAGTCTTCTGTTATCAGCCATGAGGATAGCTATCACCTGTGGAATCTGATGACATCAGGGAGGCAGTTTGAAAAGAAGGCAGGAATGTTGCTTTTAATTTGGCTCCAAGCTGAGCTTCATCTCATATCATTGGATCTTTCTTAGGGTAGGAAACCAAAGATCTTTTAAAAGGTAAGTTTGCCTTCCTTCTTTGATTTCACAGTCAGTTAAAGAAATGACTTTGGGAATTCCGAAAGCTAAATATTTTCATCTGAGCATTTTTATTAGCTCTCCAAAAACTCAAAGACACTCGGCTTCGAATCTGAAAAAGAACTGATGAGAAAGTCAGGAACTGAAAAAGTCAGTAGCTCGTGTCTCCCTGTTGTGTTATAACAGTGACAATGTTATAATGTTTAAATGAACAGGACAATAATATCCTAAGATGGATTGTCAGCTCATTGGCACAATGGCTCAAGCCACCATCAGACTGGGCAGCAGGTTGTTTGTGAATTTATTAGATTTATACCCTGGCTTTCATTTGGGACCTCCAAGTGATGTAAATAGCTGCAGTTTAAAAGAGGCCTCTGCAAAATGTTGCTGTAAATGGAGAGAATAGGGACAGAACAGGGAATGCTCCCTTCAGCAGTAACCTCCCACTCAGCATCAAATGTGGCTTTAAATCATGGGGATAGTTTTGGAGAGATCTGCTGCAAAATAGTGAAGATGAAGATCTGAGGGTCTTGCATTTGGACATGTACTTAATAACCACAAACTCTGCAGGAGTATTGCTGGCGACATCGTTTTCACTGAAATGTTTTCACTGAAATTTAATATGTAGTGCAGCTTGTTACTTGAACAGTTAGTTAGCTTGAACTTAAAAAAACCATTAAAATAACAGGCCTTAAAATGAACTAGAGAGCTCGTTTAAAGATCAGAAGCAAAACTGTAATTACTTTTCTCAAATTAAGCAATGTTTTTAATGACAATAGAAGGTTTTTCTGGTCAATTGTGTAGCTGTTAGGATTTTTTATGAGAAGGATGTTCTGTTCTTTTAAATTATGCCGAGCCTTCTCAGAGAATATCTCTGCTAAATGCCTGAAAACTGAGGTAAACTGCAACCCTTTTAGCCACCCTTTTTCAACCTTTTCAAGGTTAAGAGAAAACACCAAGGTAGGGGTTGGGGTTGGGGTTGGGGTTGGGGAGCATTCTTTCATATTCCTGACCTCACTCTGCTTTTAGGAAGAATGCTATTATAGTAAAGGAGGGGTAAGGAAACAAACTTCATTTCAGAATGAAATTAAAATGTTTTTAATTTGTGTTATTTTGTTTAGGGCAAGTAGTGTTAGCAAAAAGGCAAATACATACAAAATTATGTGAGGGAACATACCCCCATTCCACAAATGTGAAATAACAGCAGTAAAATTTTTGAGAATTTTTATGGCATCTTATAAGCTCTAAGCTCCTTTCTTCACTACTTTTCCAGATATTCTGCATAATTATTACAGTGACTGCTGAGGGTGATTATATATGTCAAATGTAAGATGACCTGCTTTCCATAAGGTGTATAATACACATTCGTGGCTCTTTTTTGTTTTCTTCCCTTCATGGACAATAATTGGATATGAATAAGCAATGAGACAGAACTGTTTAAAGAAGTGAAAAACTGTCAATATTTTCAGACTTCCAAATATAAATTTCAGGCAAATTTTCCATCTCTATTTAGACTTAAGTAAATTGATTTTACATACAAAAAAAAGCACATTAGTACTATAAAAAAATTAGCTGACTATTAATTTATATAGCAATTTTTACTGTATAATCTGTACTGTTTTTACCATATATGAAATAAAGGAAGATAATTCTAATTCTAATACAAGATGATTTATAAGTTCCCTTCTTTTATAAAATGTAGTCCTTTATAAAGACTAATTTCAGGCCGTTATACTTTGGCACCAATGAAAAAATAATTGCAAAGGGACTTCTCTAAAATGCAAGTTCAAATGAAATATACTCACCACTTTGAAAAACACACAATCCATCAAAACTTGTTTCTAAGTAGGACTGTAACATTAGAGCATTATTGTGGAGTATTTTGTAGCCTTTTGAAAATAACTATAATTGGGATGACCCTAAAGAAAGCCACCTGGGTTCAGTCAATTTCAATAGGAGATACTGTCATTATGTGCTAAAGCACCATGTATTCTTCCAACTGCCTTTGCTTCTAGAAGAACCTCTGTGCTTCCCATGTGGATATATTTGGTGTCTAGATTTATGTATTTATTCACTTTAATGCCTGTCTTTCTACTAAACTATTATTGAAATAGTACCAATACTGCATTGGTAATATTTTAAGTACTTCCTCGTTGGTAGTAATACCTGTAGTAACATCAGGTTAGTATGATAGACTGAAAGTGTCTATAATTTTGTCTGACTCACTTTTTGTGACTAATCTCCATTTTCACAGTGTATTGAATAACTGAATAATACTATGTTATTTCACTAGAGGACCATACTCTATCAGTACCTGGTGTGGTGTATGAAAAAAGATGGTTTATATTACAGTAAGCACATGTTTCTGACTACCTAAATAATTAGATAAATGAATTTTGACAGTTTTTTCTCTGGTTAACAGCTGTTTAACTTTTAAAGCAACGACATTTGTGTTTTTCCTTTGGAGATCACATTGTATAGCTTGTTGCCTGACAAGCTACAGTACATTACAGTAATCCTTGGCAACCAGCTGTACTAACTTCATTGATGATCCTATAATGGAAAAGAAGCTGAATAACAAGCCTCAGTGGAAGATTCTTTCATGCTGAGTTATAACAGGGCTGTCTTCTTTAAATTATTTGCACAGATATGCCTAATTAAGAATAGTGGTTCTGTCAGTTTCATTCCCCTGTACAAATATGCTTCAGCGTCTGAATCCAGCAGAAATTTTCATACCTGTTTTCTTGTCCCTGAATGTACCCTCTGAATATGTACTTTATATGCGTGCAACTTTGTGAAAGCAATTACATAGTTGTTTCTCAGATATGCTGTATTTTTTCAGATAGCTTTAGTTCTCAGCAATATTATAACATTTGAAAAGTGGAGGTTATTGCATGCATTCTGATTTCGTTATTATGTCTGAGGGATTCAAAATTGTAATTTAAAATATATTCATCCAAAAACCTGGGTGCATCAGATTCCTCACTGATCTCTTATTAACAGGAATAACAGAATAAGAAAGTTATTTGTTGATTTTGAGAGTGGAAACTTGTAACCAAATAAGTTGTATGTGGACTGAAAGAATGACAACTAAAGAAATAGATGGCTCAAAAATCATACTTCAATCAATCAGGCAGGAGACCTTATACCATTTCAGACAAGTGACTGTCCAGTCTCTTCTTAAAAACCTCCAGTGAACCCACAACTTCTGATGGCAAGTTGTTCCACTGGTTAATTGTTCTCACTGTTAAGAAGTTTCTCCTTAATTCCAGATTGATTCTCTTCTTGATTCGTATCCATTAATTGTTTCTTGTCTTGCCTTCTGGTGCTTTGGAAAATAAGTTGACCCCCTCCTCTTTGTGGCAACATCTGAAGTACTGAAATACTGCTATCATGTCCTCCCTAGTCCTTCTTTTCTCTAGACTAGCCAAACCCAAATCCTGCAACTGTTCTTCATATGTTTTTGTCTCCAGGCCTTTAATCATCTTAGTTGCTCTTCTTTGCACTTTTTGTCAAAGTCTCAACATCTTTTTTGTAATGTGACCAAAACTGGATGCAGTATTCCGGGTGTGGCCTTACTAAAGTTTTATAAAGCAGTACCAATACTTCACAGGATTTTGATTCTATGCCTCTGTTTATACAGTCAAGGATTGTATAAGCTTTTTTGGCTGCTGCTGCACACTGCTGACTCATATTTAGGTGATTGTCATCTAGGTCCTCTCAGTTACTGTTTTTGAGCCAGGTTTTGCCTAATCTGTACTTGTACCCTTGGTTTTTCCTGCCTAAGTGTAAAACCTTGCTTTTCTGCTTATTAAATTTCATTTTGTTGGATAAGGCCCATTGTTCAAATCTGTCAAGATTGTTTTGGATCCTGAACTTGTCTTCTGGGGTGTTGGCTATTCCTGCTAACTTAGTGTCATCTGCAAATTTGCAAATGTAGGTGAGTGATTCCTCATCAAATTGCAATGGAGGACTGCAGGAGTGGCACAAAATTGAATCACAGGCTTTGGACTTTTTGCTATATGCTGAGATGGAGGAAAAGCTAATTAGATATGCACATAACACAGAATTGGGTGGCATATGTAACGCCCAAGGTGACAGAAATGGAATTCCTGAACAATGACAGCAAGTTAGAGAAATAGGATGAACTAACAGAATGAAGTGAACAGAGGAAAATGTAAAAGTGATTTAATTGTAAACAAAAATCAAACAAGCAGGTATGGGATGAAAGAGATCTTGTTTTGTAATACGTAGTACTTGTTAAAAAGTTCTTTAGACAAAAGGAGTTGACTGGAAACCATATTTGAAGTAGTAATGTGATATCGCTGGAAAAAAAAACATTTTAAAATTATATCAACAGTTTTACAGCCTTTATGACTATTATTTAATGTATATGGCTACCCATTCAAGATGCAATTATTTGTAAATGACTATTGGTCATACAGCCCTATATTATGTCCAATTCTAGCTGGGCATCACATTCATAAGCATATGACAACAGCAACGTCATGGCACAAACCCTCCTTTTTTAAAATTTGTGCTCCACATTGGTACGAGGACATAAATCCTGTTGTTTGCATCCTTTCCCCATGCAGATGCTTATGAAGAAAGACTGAGAAAAATTGAAATGGGATCCTAAAAGAACAACGAAGATGATCAAGGGACAATGAATAGAGATTGAAAAAAAGAGCATGTCTAGTCCTGGGAAAAAATGCTGAACAGGGATTTGATAATATTCTTCAAATGACTGAAACAATGTCATACAGGGGGAAAAACCCTCTATTTATCACTACAGAAAGTAAGACACAATATAATTTAAGTCACAGGAAGGCAAGTTCCAGCTGAATCTTACCATTATTTTTTAACAATAAGAACACTTCAAAAGGAACTAGTTATCTAGGAAGATGATGAGCATTTCTCCCTTGGATGAGTCTGAGTTTTCTCTCTCCTAGACCATTCTTCATAGAAAAGTGGTGAATACA